CCAGCCACGCAGCCCTCTGAACTCTCGCCTGCTCTGAGAAGGGCCAGTGATGAAGGGCCAGTCCTTGGGGCTAGGCGCCACCTCGCCCTGGCTGAGGTGTGGGCACGTCACTGCCCCTTTAAGCCCAGCCCGGCTCTCGTGTGCTGGGCCTTGGGCGAGGTGCTTGTCGCGTGGTCACTCGTTTGATCCTGATGGCTGCCTTGGGAGGCAGGCTCTGTCTCTCGTGTGCAGAGAAGAAGCCGGCACAGGGAATGTAGCCTTCAGGGCCCGTGCGTTGGGGTGCCAGGGCCTGGGCTGGCTGCCTTGCTGGTGGCCTCTCAGGCAGCCAGCACTGAGTGCAGCTCCCAGGGTTCCCTGCCTGTGGGGAAGTGTCCGGAAGAGGAGTGCGCAGGGGAGCGTTCCGGGTGGCCCTTTGGGCCGGTGTTGGCAGCTGCTTCCTCTGGGGAGAGGAGTGGCCCCCGCCGCCCCCTGTGCTGAAGAGCTAACAGTAAGTCACGGGCCTCGCCAGGTCCTGCCCCGTAGGCTCGGGGTGCGTCTGCCTGTAGGGTCACAAAGCCACCGCCGCACCTCACAGGAGCAGGGACTGCCAGTGCCCCCATGTGCCCTCTGCATTTGGCTCTTGCTGGTTGTCCCGGAAGCCTCTTGCCAAGCAGGAGTACCCCAGGACCCCGTGTTGCGCCCGGCCATTCCTGTCCCTGCCCTCTGTCGGATCACAGTGCCTCCCTTTTCCTCCTGCAGCCCCAGGAGACCAAGGAGGCTGCCCTGGCCTGTGTCTGTCCGTCTAGGGCCTCTCACGCTGCTAGCCCAGCGCTCACCCCGGACTTCCTGTGGACTGGGTATCACATCCGCAGAGTGGATTCCACTCAAGTCAGCGTTTTGCTGGGACAGGCCCGGTGGTGGTGTGATGTCATCTGACAGGCCGGGGACCCACCACTGGGCTCGCCAGGCAGGCTAAGGCGGGAGGTGGCGGCAGCTTGTCCCCTTACTGCAGAGTCACCTTTTCGGTGGCGGCCAACAGCCACATGGCCATGCCGTGCTTAGCGCACTTCTCGTTTTTGAACCCTGTTTGGCCTTGCTGCCCTGCATTCATATTCCCGTTCCTTTCTAACGTTAACCTTAGATAGTATGAGCTTGTTTTCTTGTGGTTTGCAGTGTTAGACTAAACGCAGTCTTTCCTGCCGCTCCCTGCAGGGAGGCAACGTGAGGGCCCCGCTCAGGCCTGAGCTGCTGGAGTGTCCTGGTGACCCCGGTCATCACTGACTCAGGAAGATGTCACTGCCCTGGAGAAGGCCCAGAGCGCACTTCCCAGCTGCTCCTTGTTGAGGAAGCAGCTTTGCTAGAGAGGAGAAGGGGTCACCGGGCAGAGGGGCCTGGCTCTGGGCTCAGTGTTGGCTCAAGACCCAGCCCTGCAGAGGGAGCCCGGGCCTGTTCCCATGGAGACCCAGGAAGGGTGGGTTTCTGCTCAGACAGGGCCCACTGCTGACCAGTGGTGGGGACAGCATTTGTCCGTTCGGTGCTCTCCCCGCTAGCTGACCCCCAGCTGATGTGGATAGGACTTAAGGCGGTGGTGGTACTGCTCACGGCCACCTGGGTTCTGCTCAGAACCCACCCCCCCCCCTCCCCCCCAGGCTTGGGCATCTCATGCTGGCCGAACTGTCAGACACAGCTGCGTGCCCAGCGAGCGTCCCCAGCCCAGGCTGGGGCCACACGGAGACGCGTTCCTCCCCTCATCCTGCGGCGTGGTGTCTGGTTCCTCTGATCAGTGTAGCATCATTGGCAGATGCCACGTCACTGCTTTCTAGGAAAATCCCAGGAAGTGAGTTCCTGTTTTTCTGACTGCCTCGCATTCCTCTCTCAGGAGTACCTGAACGCAGCCGGCCGAAGCATCTTTAGTAGAGTCTTTCTGCTTTTGTTTTAGAAGCACAGGTGCGACCCCCCTGCCCACCCCGCACACGCACAGCACGGGCCTGGGCCCAGAGTAGGCAGAGTGAAGTTGAATCCGGGGCACAGTGTCTGTCTGAGCCGGAGGAGTTCCTTGGTCGTCTTCAGACCGAGCGTTGATGGAAATGTTGGGCCTTCGCTGCTCAGTCTCTCTGGGTCTCTCTCCCAGACCCAGGAGGGTGAAGTCGAGGCCTGCCCGTGGTTATCCCCCGCAGCCCCGTGAGTGAAGACTTGGAGCCCTTGCAGGTGGGGACCTGGAGGAAGGAGAAGCCCATGATGCACTTGGCGCCCCTTCAGTGATGCGCTCAGCCTCACCCGGGGGAGGGGGGCGGCAGAGGAAGTGCGGGCTGCACCGGAGGGGTGGGGGTGGCGCCCCTGGGCCCCTGGGGTTGTGAGTCTTCACATCCTGAGCGCAGGGCCCGGCCAGGCGCAAGTCCATTCAGGCCTGTCTCACAACGACGGCTGTGTTCCCTGTCATGTGCCTGGCACAGAGGTCCTTTGTGAGGCTGAGGTGCTGTCACTGAGGCCAGAGTCTCTGCTGGAACGCTCGCCGGAGTTCAGAGCCGCTGCACAGAGCCCAGCTGACACTCGGGGCTGGGGCTGTGAATTCCGCCACCTGCCGCCCCGAGGGCTGTGCATCCGTTTTCACGGCCCACACTGTTGGGGGAGTACTCTTTGTCTAATCTCCACACTGACGTGGGGAGCTGTTTCCACGTGTGCTCGCTGTGCGCTGTGTCTCAGCATCCGTCAGGGTAACCATGAGCAGAGACATTTGTGTTTGAAGCCAGGCACCCCGAAAAACCCTGAGGCCCAGCGAGCCTCAGTCCCCCCACCAGTCCTCTGCACAGCCTGGGCGTTCACCCCTTGCCTGGCTGCCCCAGGCCCATGGCAGTGCAGCTCCCAGAGTAGCTTTCCTGCCGGCACGGGGTAGGGTGTGGTGCAGCGAGAAAGCCTCCTGCTTTGTTTCTTTCCGATTTTCAGCTGGTAGTAAACAGAGTATCAGATGTGCAGTGCCTGTTAGAAATCAAGACTTTCGTGACCCAGGACTGAGGGATTCTAACCAGGAAGGAGTATAGGACTGGCGGCTGGGGTGTGGTGGGTGACCAGGGTGGAGAAGCCAGCCTCAGCAGATGGCCGCCTCTGTCCCTGCCTGTCTGGACCGTGGCGTCTGCGCCCTCCACACGACGAATCCCAGACCCGAGCACCCGGAACTGCAGAGGTGACTCGGAACCAAGCACACCAGAACTGGACGTTTTGCTTTATCACGTTTTTAAGCAGTCGGGTGGTGAAGCTGGGCTTGGGGACCTTCTGCTACAAGTGCTTAAGAAAATGTAATTGGGTGGCACACTCGGATGAGGTCTGACATGCTTTATGTAAAGAAAAACACATTTGTGTTTTTAATAACCGCATTACTGTTGCTCTTTGCCCCACCTGTGCCGTTAGAGGAGACACGGGGCATTTATCAGTAGCTGTTTGGAGGGGAGGGGATGGTTCTTTCAGATGATGACAAGTCGAAGCAAGCGCTCCGTGTGCTTCGTGCCAGAGTTGTTCCCACTTGGTTGTTAGCTGTGACGTGCGCTGTGTGTTTCTAAAACTTCTCAGCTAAGTGCCCCTGCTCGGCCACTTCGTGAAGACCCCAGCCCCACCCCGGCCTCTGCCCGGAGGCAGCCTTGTGCGGCCCCCCTGGTTCCTCGTCGGTTACCCCTGGGGTTACCAGCTGCACTTAGGCCTCTTCTGCTTGACCCACTGCAGCTGGGGCCTGGCTGTCTAGAAGCCTCCTGTGTCAGGAATCCTCCTCCCAGAGCTATGTCCTAAAGGGGTTTAGGGTTAGGCAGAAGCAACACATGTGAGTGAATCCCAGTGTGGTCAGTGTCACTGGAGGGCCGTCATGAAGGAAGGAAGCAAGCTCATGAACGGTTTGACCGTTTCATAGCAGTGCTCGTTAGCTCTGAAGTTGGGTCACTCCTCTTCCCAGCCACCCGTCCATCCCCCACCCGACAGGTATTTGCCCGTGGCGTGAGTGCAGTGCGGGAGTCAGAGCATGGCCTGGCTGCAGGGCGGAGGCTCTGCTGGACCTGTCGGATGCCAGGTCAACAGTCGGGAGAGCAGGAACAAGGGAGGGAGGGGAGCTGAGGGCAGCGTGCACGGAGGCCCGGGGGGCGGGGCGTGGGCAGGGGGCACAGCCGGCACCACTGTGAGGGTTTGGAGGTGCTGTGGGTCCTCTCCTGGACAGGGCAGAGGAGAGCACTCACTCAGGCAGCTACTTCCCGAACGCCACATCTCACTTCTGGGGCCTCCAGACTCGCTGACGCACACAGGACGCTGGTGGCCCTGTGGGCCCCGCATTCTCCCGGGGGCTTCCAGCGTGAATATGAAGACTTCTGGGTTTATGACATCAGCTAGGAATTCACATCTCAGCCCCCAGTCTAAACTGTCTTTCCAGGGGCTGCTTACAAGTGTTTAAGCTAGCTGAGTACTTAACAGAAATGTGTGCTCACCTTGTTCTGGTCAGTGTTTACTGTTACAAAAACAGGCTGCCCAGGGTCACTGCCCGGGTGGGTGGCTTCGTGCCCTGCGATCCTCAACACCACGAAGTGCCACCTGTGATTGAGACGCGGCTGTGTCTGGAGCCCTCAGTCCAGAGGCCCCGTGCCTGGCTGCAGGGTGCCGCAGGGTGCTGCAGGCTCAGCGCCCCAGAATCCCCCTGGGTCTCTGAGTCACTTCCTGCCTTCTGGGCAGTGCAGCTCTGCCGGGAAGCCCGAGGTGCTGAGCCTCAGGAGCCCCGAGCGCCGCGGCTTGCACACCCAAAGGGGGCGTCTCCCTTGGTGCAGTGTGGCTTGGCTGATACTGTAGTTGTGAAGCCACACTGTGCTGTCATTTAGTTTTAACCCTGAGATGTCTGTAAACCCTTTCTCATCCTCTGACTGTGTCATTGGGCTCTGTGGCCCTTTGTGGGTGTACGGTGGGGACGGGCTGTGGTTTGACCAGGGAACTAGCGGATGTGGCCTGTGACAACTGCATCTTTTGCATATGGCCGTGACTTTGCCCTCTCCCCACAGCCACCTCCCCGCGGGTGTCCTCTGAGCTGGAGCAAGCCCGGCCCCAGACGAGCGGAGAAGAAGAGCTTCAGCTACAGCTGGCACTCGCCATGAGCAGAGAAGTGGCCGAGCAGGTCAGTGCCCAGCGGAGGAGGACACACGCCTCGGCCTCGCCGTGGCCTCGGGGTCTGGAACGTGTTGCCAGCAGGGTGCTCTTATTGCCCACCCACCGCCTGCTGCTCAGCCAGGCGGGTTCCGCGCAGACAGGTTCTCCAGCAGTGGCACGGATGTGCAGGGGAGCCGGCCGAAGGCAGTCCAGGGAGTGAGAGGGGTTTGATTTCCAGCGACAGGACTACGGGACGTTATGCCTTTTCTCCAGTTCCTGTTGTTCTTTAATATGCACCTGTTCCTTTAACATGGGACGAGAGGGAATGCGGTGATTGAGTGACCCCCGAGGCAGGGTGGGTGGAGCCAGGGGTGGCGAGGGGAGAAGTGTGTGGGCTCCTTGAGTTAAAGTGCAGTGTCCAGCAGTGTTCGCGTAGCCGAGACTGGAAAGACCTGGCCACCCGCTAACGACAGACAGCGTCTGTCATGGCCTGTCCGTGCCTAGGAAGGACGTACTTGGGAGAAGGTACGGAGGAGCTCGTTCTAGTTACCATGTCTAGTAGTGTGGAAGGAGCAGACTGACTTACACGCGAGGGCAGCTCTGTCTCTCGTATGTTGGTGGCTGTGCCTTAAGTAAACAGAATGACTCATTGCTGTTAGAATTCATGGAAACGTGGACCTGTTTTCTGGAATGTTCGCAGCAGGAGGTGGGATGACGGGCGATTTTCATCTCCAATTCCTTCCTGGGTTGTCAGATCAGTGTTTCGTAAGGAGACATGCTGTGTCTATAAATAGAATCACCGAGCTGCTTGCATTTCGAGACAGAAATGTTTTAGATGAAGCATTCCCCTTTTCCCAATTTGGTGGTGCCTGAGCCAGTGTGCCGGGCCAGGTCCCAGGGGCACTGGAGCTGGCGGCACATGTGCGTTCAGTCCTGTGTGCACTGCCCGCCACTGGCCAGCGGGGTCAGCCCCAGAGCCCTCAGCTTCCGGCTGCCATTGTCCCTGCACAGGAAGAGCGCCTGAGGCGGGGCGATGACCTCAGACTGCAGATGGCCCTCGAGGAAAGCCGGAGAGACACAGTTAAAGTTCCTAAGAGGAAAGAGGTAAGAGCTGGCCGGCAGGCGCGTGTGTGAGGCTTGGCCCGCCCGTCACTGTCGCCTCGGTGGCCCCCGCAGCCCGCGGCGTGGGTGGGATCCAGAGCTCACGCATCGAGTAACCAAGTGCTGAAAACACACCCGCACACCCGAACCCCAGGAGATGCAGGGCATCCCAGAGCCCCAGCCCCCTCCCCTGCTTGGCAGCCGCTAGCTCAGTTGCACGCCTAGGGCTCTGGCTCGAGCTCCTGGCCTGGGTGAGCCCTGCCTGGTGCTGGTGATCATCACGGCCAGTGCTGTGCCCAGGCTTCCTGCTGTCACCTAAAGGTGACCAGAGGTGACTGGGGTGTGGCTCGCCGTTGTCCAGGAGACACCCCCCCGGGACCATGGGGCCTCCTCTGTGGCAGCGCCTCTGGGCCCCAGATGATGCACAGGGCGCCCGTGGAATAGGAAGGCTAGGTCAGTCCTCAAGATAGAGGGCCCCGCTGGAGACGGATGCTGTTCTGGGGGGAGGGGCAGCCTGGGCAACAGGAGCTCTGTTTGAAAGCCCACAGAGTATTCGACAAGCAGCCGAGAGCTGGAGCCCGGGCCAGGGCCGGGGCCATCCTGGGAGGCGGGAGTGTGGGTGGAGCTAGCAGGTAGAGCAGGCCATGGGCAGCTCAGCCTCTGTTCCCGGCTGCACCCTGCCACCCCAGGCCTTCCCCCGATTCCGGGCGGCGATGCTTGTGGCTGACGCATGGCTACTTGCTGTGACACCGCTAAATAAAACCCGTCGTCTTCTCTGTCTTGAAGCACGGCTCCCGTCCGCCACAGACCCCTCTGCTGGACCTGCTGGACGCCCTCCCCAGCTCAGGCCCCGCCACCCAGAAGTCAGAACCCTGGGCCCCAGCGGCTGCTGCTAACCAGACCAACCCCTGGGGCGGGCCCGCGGCCCCCACCAGCACCTCGGAGCCCTGGCCGTCATTCGGTAAAGACCCTGTCCTTGTGCTCTGGTGCTTGCCTGCTGGTGGGGTGAGTGGGAGGAGGGAGGGCCGGAGCCTCTCGCTGTGTCCCACCCTGCAGGGTCGGGGGTGGGTGTCCGCCTGCTTCGAGATGCTGCCAGCGACGTGCAGCGGGCCGCTGTCTTCCCCATCGCGGGCAGGGGCACAGCATCCTGTTTCTTCCTGTTCTGAGTGGTTTTCTGCTTGCTAAGGGGAAAACTGACTTCCCCCCTGCCTCCCACGTGCTTCGGAAATGACCTGTCCCTCCTCTGGGACACAGCTCAACTCTCCCAGCCTCAGCATCGCACCCAGCACCCGGCTGTACACGGCCTGGGACCTGCTGCTCATTTTAAAGGGGCAGCGCTGGCCGTGACCGCTGTCCCCTGTCATTTACAGCTGCTAGCAGGCTGAGTGAGTGGAAGTTTTGTTGACTGGCAAATGGGAGATTGTGTGGTGGGCGATGTCACCCGTCACGGTGATGCAGTTGGCTGGCTCTGGGTGATCATCCCGGGAACACGAATTTCTTGACTGCTGGACAGGCAGCGTGGCCTCGCAGGTTTCATGAGGACTTCCGGTCTGGTGCTGAGAGCCATGCCGACCACGTGACTGGGCTTCCACTCCGGTTAGCTCTGCGTATTCTGGGGGCATCGTGGCTGTATTTCTTGGAGTCCCTGTTTCCCCAGACTGGAACCCTCTTTTGTATTCCGCTCGGGTTCCTGGATGTTTGCAGAAGTGTCCCAGATGCCAGCTTTGCCCTGCCGTGCAGGAGCCCCGAGACAAACCGGTAACAGAGGTCCCTGCCCTCAGGCCCTGGTCAGTTGCGGACAGGACAGGATGCACAGGGTCCCGGCAGTGCCAGGAAGTCCCGGCCTTGGTGGGGGTCATGGGAGGGGTCCTGGGGTGGGACTCAGCCAGGGGCCGCCTCTGTTGAGTCGTCAGGGAGACAGGTGGGCAGGAGTTCCCTGCAGCAGACTTGGCTCGTGACGGGCTCTGCGGAGTGGAAGGCGACCTGCCCCGCGTGCGGCGGGCAACAGGTGGGGGGGTGGAGGAGCGGAGTTGGGGGGCGTCTGGGTCCCTCGGCGGGTCTGGGCCAGCCTTGCCAAGGGCCTGGACGTGCTCTAGCGGAGGTGTTGGTGCCGGATGCACTTTGGGGCTGCTTTTGGCCCCTGTGACAGGTAGAATCCACACTCCCATGGCAGGAGTCTTCTGAACCTGCAGAATTGTCCTATTCTCCCCCACTGAAGACTGGGCAGGGCGGCTTGGGAGTGAGGTGGGGTCACGTGGGCCTTGGGTGTGGCTGTAGTCCTGGCCAGGTACATCCGGGACATGTGAGGCAGGGGCTGGCCATGCCCTGACAGCAGTATCCTGGGGACAGCAGGTCCACCCACACAGGGGCTCTGACTTCATTCTCACTGATTTTTTTTTTTTTTTCCATTTTATTTGAAAAGCAGAGAAGCAGAGATGTCCCATCCGCTGGTTCACTCCCAGAGTGATTTAATTATTTGAGAGGCAGAGTTAGAGAGGGAGAGGCAGAGTGCGAAGTCTGGTTCACTTCTCAAATGGCCGCAGGTTCTTCCTGGTCTCCCACATGAGTACAGGGACCACTGCTTTCCTAGGCCAGTCTGCAAGGAGCTGGATCGGAAATGGAACAGCCAGGACTCGAACCAGTGCTCATGTGGGATGCAGGTGCCGCGGGCGGAAGTTCAACCTGTTACACCACATTGCCGGCCCTTTCCAATGATTTTGTTGAAGATTTATTTATTTGGGCTGAAGCTGCTTCGTAGCAGGTAAAGCCGCCACCTGCAGTGCCAGCACCCCATGTGGGCGCCAGTTCATGTCCCAGCTGCTCCACTTCCGATCCAGCTCTCTGCTGTGTCCTGGGAAAGCAGTAGAAGATGGCCCAAGTCCTTGGGCCCCTGCACCCGTGTGGGAGACCTGGAGAAAGTTCTTGGCTCCTGGCTTCAGATCGGCACATCTCGGATTTCGGTTAATTGGGGAGTAAACCAGCAGATAGAAGACTTCTCTCTCTCTCTCTCTCTCTCTCTCTCTCTCTCTCTCTCTGCCTCTCCTTCTGTCTCTGTGTAACTTTCAAATAAATAAATAAATATTTTAAAAAAGAGATTTGTTTATTTATTTGAAGGGCAGGATTGGAGAGAGGGAGATCTATCCACTGGTTCATTCCCCAAATGGCTGTAATGAATGATTGGGGCTGGGCCAGACCAAAGCCAGGAGCCAGGAGCTCCATCCAGGTCTCCCACATGGGTGCAGGGGCCCAAGCACTTGGACCATTTTCTGCAGCTTTCTCAGACACATTAGCAGGAAGCTGGATTGGACGTGGAGCAGCCGGGACTCAAATCAGCCTTCATACAGGATGCCGACATTGCAGGCAGCAGCTTCAACCTACTGCACCGCAACACTGGCCTCTCCAAGTATTTTTTTTAACTGAGCAAAATTGACCACTTTAACAATTTGAAAGAGGACAGTTCGGTGCTTTCTTCACATTCTCAGTGTTATGCAACTACCAGGATCTGTTCCTGAAACATTTCCATCGCCCCAGAAAGCAACCCTTACCCAAGCCCCTGGAGCCATCAGTCTACTGTCTGTGTCTTAGGGATTTGCCCGTTGTGGACGGTTCATGTAAATGGAACCATACAACGTATGTTCACCTGTGACTGGTGTTTGCGGTTGGCTCAGTCTTGCCCAGGGTCATTCCTTTCCTGGCCGAACGGTATTCCACTGGGTGGCTGTACCGCGTTGTGTTTAACCATCCAGCACCGATGGACATCTGTGCTGTTTCCGCCTCTTAGCTGTTACGAATCCAGTTGTTTAAAAAGATTGAAACTTGCCTTTTGGAAATCGTAGTGTTTAAATATTGGCAGTAAATTTAGAAATGAAAAACATGAGGGTGCTAATCAGGATCTAGCTGAAAGTGGCCACAGCCAGCCTGGAGCTACCTGCCCAGCCTGGCTTCTGTCGCACTTGGTGTTTTGGTCCGTGACCTGGGAAGGAAGGAAGCCGCCCGAGTCCAGAGAGGTGGTTAGCTCCCCTGAGGTCAGAGGGCAAACCAGGGGCTGGCTCAGAGCCAGGGGCAGCACACCCATGACCTGTCACACAGTCCCGCATTGCTACAGTCACCTCAGGTCCCCGCGTGGAGAGACGGTCATGGCTAACACGGCAGCTTTGCTTTCTGGATGTTGCGCGTGGTCACGAGTGTTCCCAGGCCTCGGCAGGTGCTCGGTACCGCCTGGCTCTCACAGAGCGCCGGGGGCTGTGGCGCACTCGGCAGCCCAGCGGTGTGTGCAGAGGCGGCTTCACAGGTCCAGCAGTGCGCTTTCCAGGAAAAAAGACATTCACCACCCAGGGTTCTGTGGGAACTAACTCCCTGCAGCAAAACCGATCGGCTCTGCAGGAGTGCCCTGAGCTGGCTCCCGAGCTAACAGGGCCTCTGCTTCTGCTCAGGCAAGAGCGTGGCGTTAGGTTCACTGCTCAGCATCTCCCGAGCCCCAGGAGGGAGCAGTATCAGTGCTCACAGACCTGGGAGCGCGGTGTCCCTTGCCGTAGCACAGCTAGCTGCACTTGCCGGGTGCGAAAATCACTGTTCCCAGGGAGCCCTGGCACTTCCGCTGCTTTCCAGGCGGCACCGGGAACCGCTTGGCCAAATGGCCCTGGGAGGAAGTGCCACGGCCGGGAGCAGGGAAGTCGGGACCTGGCAGGGCGCTTCCTGCCCTGTTGCAGACACACAAAGCGGCCACCTGGCCGGAGGGGGCTCACTGGCCTGGGACTGAGGAGGCCTTGGCCCGCAAGGCTCGGCCCCTCTGCCCGCCCGCCCCCGTGGCTGGGACGGAGCCCGTCTTCCGCCCTGACAGCCGCAGGTGGTGCTGCTGGCTTCTTAGGGTGACCCTGTGTGGCTTGTGACTGCTTCCCTGTCACATGAATATTCATGCATGGGCCTGGGGCTGAGCCAGGCTGGTGGCACACGTGCTGCCTGTGAATGGCCCCACAGAGGATGAAGCCGGAAGCCGCTGATCGTCCGGATCTCGGTTCCTTCCTGCCTTCCGCATTCAGCCGCACTCTGAATGAGGATCTATTGATGTGTGGTGTGGTGTGGCCTGGAGCCCACTGAGGACGTGCAGGCCCAGAGCACAGAGCAGCCTCGCCGGGGCCCTGCTGTGCATTCCCAGAGGGGAGCCTCCCTGGCCAGCAGTGCTCCCTGAGGGCCAGCTGGGCCCCAGGCCTGGGCTGGCCACATGCCCACAGCCAACGGAGGGAGCACTGTGTCCCCAAGTCAGGTTTGAAGAAAGCAAGGTGGCACTGGGTGTGGGACCGCCTCGCTGTCTCTGTGGGACTTGGCTAGTTTGCATAATCTGTAGTCAGCCAGCAGCTGGTGGCGTGTCCTGGGCACACATAGGTCTCCAGGGTCGCTCACAGGGTGGAAACCAGACGGAGCTCCCCAGGCCAGGCAGCTTTCCCTGGTGATCTGATGGCTTGGGGGTAACCAGGGTTTGAACCAGTTCACCCCACGTGCAGAGGTCTCTGAGCCGTGACCAGCCCGGTCCGTACAGACTGCGGGGTGGGGCCTCCTCCCCAGCCAGAGTATGCTGCTGGCAGCAGCATGCCTCGTGCAGGCTGCTGGTTTCTCAGGCCCTAGACTGTGCTGGTTTCGTTCTTTCAGCAGCAGATCCTAAAAGGAAGGCACACGAGGCCCATGGGAGAAAACGGGAGGAGGGATCGGGCAGGTCCCGAGAGGCCGGAGAGGAGTTTCGGCATGGCGCTGCGCAGCATGGAGGGTGGTCTGTCTGCAGCAGGTCTCACTTGCCTGCAGCCCTGCACGGGCTAGTGGGGGCTCAGCAGGACGCAAGGGCCACCCAGGAGCCAGAGCTGTCCTCAGACCTGCCTTCTGCCCCACCATGGTCCGCGCACTGGTGCAGTGACTCGTGTCTCTGTCTCTTGGGGCAGGGCCCATCCTGGGGAGTGCTGACCAGCTTCTGTCTAGGTAGAGGGAGGTGAAGCCAGGGCCTGTGTCTACCAGGCGTCCTCCCACTCAGGCCTGTGTGTGGGAGCTGAGCCATCAGGAAGCCTCGCTGGTCGGGAGGGCTCGACCAGGGACCTGAGTGCACCAGGAGCGCTCAGGTGGGTCTCGGGCCTCCTGGCTGCCCGTCTCTGTCACCGGCAGAGTTTGCAAAGTGCAGGTGCCCAGCCTTTGTGCCAGCATCCGTGTGCGCGGTGGGAGAGGGCAGCACCTGTAGGTGACTGAGATGCACACGGAGCTTCCAGGACGGTGCCCCTGCATGCCGAGGGTCTCAGGACTCCCCCTGGGAAGGGGCGGGAGGGCAGGCGGGCAGCTCCCAGCGCACGTGTGCCGGGTGTCGGAATGCGTGTTTGCCCAGAGCCTCCTGGAAGCTGTCAGCCAGGTCCGTGCTGTCCCCGAGGAGCAGGTTAGAGCAGGTGCACCTCACAGCCCCTCCAGGGGGCGGCTCTGTGCTAACCTTGCTCCCTCGCCACTCACTTCCCTTCAGTCTCGGTTCTGGGGGGCAAGTTGGCCCAGCTGCTGCCCTCAGGGGCCACCCGTGCCAGCAGGGGAGACAGACGCATACTCAGCCTAGAGAGGGAGGGCACAGACGCCCATAGACTGCTCCAGGTGGGTTGGGTGATGGGCAGACTTGGCAATGGCAATAGCTGGGTCACTTTGCTGCCCGGCAGGTGATGGCCAGGACTCGGCACCTCTGCTTCCCACCTGCCCCCACCTTTCCCATGAGCCCCCTCTCTGCACTGCGGCCTCAGGAACTCAGGGCTGTGCTCTTCTGTGAGCTCAGTGGCTGCCTTGGGTGGCCTGCATGTCCTGTCCACACACACTGTGGGGGGCGAAGCGGTGCCTCTGCTCCTGCACCGCTTCTGGGATCGTGGCTGGGGTGGGGGTTGGCTTTGAACAGGGAGACCTAGAGGCCCTGCTGGGCAAGGCAAGCCCCTGTCCCTGTCCCTGCCTCATGAATCCAGCGGGGCCGGGGTTCGATCTCCCACTGCACCCTTTGTCGTGTCAGGCCGAAGTGGCCCTGGGAGGGTTGTTCACCCCCAGGGGAGTAGCTGTGCGGGAGACGTGGGAGACCTGGGTGACGGCGAAGCAACTTGTGCAGGGAACTGGGTGCTTCTGGGAGCTCGGGGGGCCGTGGGTTCGGGGCAGCAGCAGAAGCCACAGTCCAGAGTCAGCCGCAGGAAATGAAGGGCAGGCAGGGGTGTCCCCGGGGTGTTGGGGGGAGCCTGCAGGATGTTATCCGCCCCTCCATCTCTAGCTCAGGGCTGCTGGAGGGCCGGAGGGTGGGGTGGGGGGAGTAGCAGTGTCCCCCTAGCCTCCCCACCGCACACACACACACTGCTGCACCAGCCATCGCTGGTCCCAGCCGAAAGAGGCATCGAGACAGTGGCTGGTGTGGCTCTGTGGGCCGCACTAAAGCCGTCTGGCATCTGAGGCACGAAGCCCCATGGTAGAATACCTGCCTACTTCCATCCCTGAGCAGGGGAGCTGGGGCCGAAAGGGCCGTATGTGGAGGTGGGCATCCAGGGGGTGGGTGCTCCCAAAGGCGCGGGGGAGCCCCCCACCCCGTCTCCTGTGAGATGGGTGGAACACCGTCCCCTCCTGCGGCCCCTCTCAGCCTCAGCTCTGCCAGGTCGTCAGAGGTTTCCTGGGTGCTACCCTCCTCTCCTGCTGGGCTGCAGCTGTTTCTACCCCAAGGGAGCCCGAAAGGAGCGTTATGTGATAGCCAATCTGAAAACAAGCCAGGGACAGGTGTGTGTCACAGGGCCTGGCTGCTCTGCTCCCGATCCAGCTTCCTGCTAGTGCACTTGAGAGAGAAGATGGCTCAAGTGCTTGGGCCCCTGCGACCCACGCGGAAGACCAGGGTGGAGTTCCAGGCTCCTGGCTTCAGCCTCACCCAGCCCCAGCCATTGCAGCCTTTTGGGGCGTGAACCAGCCAACCAGCCAAATGGAAGATCTCTCTCGTCTCTCCCTCCCTCTCTGTCACTCTGCCTTTCAAATAAATAAGTAAATCAATAAATGAAGCCGACCGGAGGACTTTAGAGGGCTGAGGGAAGGCAAGAAGAGAAAGGCAGAGGTGGAGCACTGATGGACAAGACTGGGGAGCCCGGGGGGGCTCGGTGGAGCTGCTCCAGTGTGGCTGGGGAGCCGCGGGCACGCTTCTGCGGGGACTTCCCAGAGAACGGGTACTCGGGAAGCCTGGGCTGCAAGAACCGCGGAAAGCGCCCTTTGATCCAGGGAGCCCGAGTCCAGCCCTTCCCCACCTAGACACAGCACCGCCCACGGAACAGGCCACTCGGTGGCAGGGAGAGGCAGACGACAGTGGGCTGGTGTGTTCAGCACGCGGGAAGGCAGCCCTATCGCCAGCGGATCCGTTCTTAGTGGAGTCCCCTTCTCTCTAAGAGTGGTAGTGTGGAGACAGCAACGGAGACCAGGACCTCTGGGATCTGCGCTCCGTCAATGCCGAAGGCGGCACGATGGTGTCTCGTGGGGACAGAGCACGAAGAGGGACTGGTGCCAGCACATCTGTCTATGGAAGTGCCGAGGGAGTCCTTCGCTGATGGGAGGGGAGAGCAGACGGCCAGGTCATCAGGAGCCACGAAGGACTCCAGGGAGGGACGACAGTGGGCGGGAGTGTACAGGAAGCAGCCAGGATGCAAGGCGAACCGAGCAGCACGGGGAATGAGTGACCATGTGCTGAGCAAAAGAGCCAGCCTCGCCACATTCCACAACACGAGAGTCACACAGAGCACGTTTTCTGGTCACAGTAGTCTTGAGAATCAGTAGCACCGAGGTAAGGACGGGAATTCCACTCACTAGAAATTTTAATTTTTTTTTTTTTTTTTTTGACAGGCAGAGTGGACAGTGAGAGAGAGAGACAGAGAGAAAGGTCTTCCTTTGCCGTTGGTTCACCCTCCAATGGCCGCCGCGGCCGGCGCACCGCGCTGATCCGATGGCAGGAGCCAGGAGCCAGGTGCTTTTCCTGGTCTCCCATGCGGGTGCAGGGCCCAAGCACCTGGGCCATCCTCCATTGCACTCCCGGGCCACAGCAGAGGGCTGGCCTGGAAGAGGGGCAACCGGGACAGAAACCGGCGCCCCAACCGGGACTAGGACCCGGTGTGCCGGCGCCGCTAGGCGGAGGATTAGCCTAGTGAGCCGCGGCGCCAGCCACACTCACTAGAAATTTTAAAGACACTTGCGGGGCCGACGATGTGGTGCAGCAGGGGAAGCTGTGTCCTGCAGTGCCGGCCTCCCATATGAGCACGGGTTCAAGTCCCGGCTGCCCAACAGAGGGAGCCCCGGAGGAAGCACATGGCACAGGGGCACGTGGGACGCAGATGCACAGATGGACGCTTTTTTTTTTCTTAATGTTATTTCTTTGAAAGAGGGGAGGGAGCTTTCATGTGCTGGTTCTACTCCCCACATGCCCACCACAGCCAGGGCTGGGCCATTGGCCAAAACAAATGTGGGTCTCCCAGTTGGATGGCAGGGACCCAAATGCTTGCGCCATCCCCCGCTGCCTTCCCAGGGGAAGTGGAGTCGCTGGGACTGAGGTGGGCACTCTGGTAGGGGATGTTGGCTTCTTCCGCGGCGGCTGCACCGCAGCACCCACCCCGGGCTGTGAGAGACAGAGGCGACCCAGACTCAGACAGGCACCTTCATAGGAGAGGAATCTGGAAGATCCGGGAGTGTCGGACAAGACGCAGCACTTGATAAGGGGACAAGGACGTGAATCAAATCCATGGTGCAGTAGTGAATTTGACGCCCACCAGATTGGCACAGACGTTTTGAGCATTTAGAGAGTGGGTGGGCAGCTCCCCAGGCTGCTGGTGCAGCCACCGTGGGACTGGATGAGCCCGGTGGCGTGAAGAACGGATGGTGAGACCCCATATTGGAGCGCAGCTTCAGAAGACCGAAATAAAACACACCACGGGCTGAGCACTTGCCTTTTGATACACTGAAGTATTCTATTCTATAAAAAAACAAAGCCAGTTATGACCACTGAAGCCATCTTGTCGCTCACAGCCTGAATGCTGTGTTGCCGGCCTGTTTTGTACACTACGCTCTGCGGAGGGACCTGTGGCCATAGCCTCTCAAAGTGGGGTATAGCTCGGGGAGGGGGCTCTTTCGCAAGCCCCGTGTGCTGGAGGTGGTTTGGAGAGGGTCTCTGGGCTGCTGCATCTCGGGAGGTGGCCAAGGGCGCTCTCCCTCCCCGGGGCTCAGCCCCCGCCAGCCTGCTGCTGTGCCTGCCTGGCACAGGGGACAGACCCAGGTGTCCCTTGACCTCTTGCCGCAGCTGCCCTGAACTTTGGGGGAAGCCTCTCTGAGCCCTGACTTGGCCTTCTGCAGGTGCCAAGCCAGCTGCTTCTGTCGACCCGTGGGGAGTGCCCACCGGAACCAGCGCACACACTGTCCCCAAGAGCTCAGACCCCTGGGCGGCTTCGCAGCAGCCAGCTTCCGGTGCCGGGAAGACAGCTGATGCCTGGGGTGCGGCCTCAGCCACCAAGCCCATGTCTGCTTCTGGTGAGACCTCGTCCCCGCAGGGCCCCGGGCTGGTGGCTCCTCCCGGCTCCGGCTCCGGCTCCGGCTCCGGCTCTGGCTCCGGCTCCAGCTCCAGCTCCTGCTCTCGGCGAGCGGCCTGCTGGTCTGCCTGCATCTGCGTCTGCCCCCCACCCCTGCCCTGAGCCTTCGCCCTTGAGCTTACAGGCCCTTCCGCTAACCCCTCCCTCCCGGGGGGCTGCTGAGAGGGGCGTGGCTCTGGGTGCCACTGGCTGTGCCCCTGGGGTCCTTCAGGTGGCCTCCTGCACACCCTTAGCCAGCTTCCAGCCCTGCTGCCTTGTGCCAGGATCGTCACTGGCCCCCTTCCCTCGGGGTGGGGTTGATGAGGGCGGTGGTGGCTGGTGCCCACGGCTGTCCCCAGAGGCCAGGCTGCCTGCTGCTCTCCTGAGCTGACCTGAGCGAGCCTGTACTGCCCTGTTTGGCTCAGGCCTCCCGCTGAGGTGGGAGACACTGGGAGAGCCGCGTGGCCAACCCAGCTCAGCCCATGCCACGGGCCTCTCTGTCCACCAGGGTCCTTTGAGCTCTTCAGTAACTTGAATGGTACAGTTAAAGACGACTTCTCCGAATTTGACAACCTCCGAACTTCAAAAAAAGCAGGTAAGTAAAGGTGGCGCTGGTCTCCCTGGCCTGCAGTGTGTCTGCAGAAGCATCAACCAGCTTTCAAAACCTGCGTGTATGCCTTTTCTCTGTGTTTTTATCCCGTTGCAGCCCTGGCCAACTCGCCCAGCGAGGCCCCGCCCCCCACGTCTGCTACTTCCTGTCCAGCCACTCCCCAGGGTGCCCGCCTTGGAGACCCACAGTCTAGGCTCTGGGCCCAGCCTCCTCCCATGGGTGCATTGAGCAGCGAGGACATGGAGGGGCAGAGGGACGCACCCCCGTGTGCGAGGGGGCCGGCTGGGTGGCTCTGTCCCCTCCCTCAGGGCCTCGCCTCCTGGCCCGCTCGCCCCTCCCAGGTCCCTGCTACCCTGTCCCTGCCCTCTGGAGCCCTGCCAGCTGCAGCACAAGCCCAGCCCTCCCACCTCCCAGCCCCTTGTAGCTCAGCAGCTCCCAGCAGGAGCCCAGAGGCTGTTTTTCAAGGTCTTCCTGCTGCTGCATTTAAAAAAAAAAAAGTGAAATTCCAGAACACAGCCAAAGTGCGTTCTGCCTGTCCTTGGCTGCCCCCCCCAGCCCCGTGCCTCAGTGGGCAGGTGCTTGGCCATGACAGCTTGTTGACTTTTGAAATATCTGTCCCCAATTATAGAACCGTTTCCGGCGTAGAAAATTTAGAATTGCACGATTAGGAATTTCCGCATTGTAGAAAATGTGGAATTGCGAACCCTTCCAGCTACCCTCGGCCACGCGGTTTGCTTCCAGTGTTTTTTCTGAGTGTGTACACTCTGCTGTGTGCACGTCTCCCTGTCAGAGTGGAGTCTGTCCCCAAGACGGTGAGAAAAACAGGCGCAAAGCATCCTCTCTGCACAAGAATACCCTGGGACAGAGTTTGTAGCCAGCTGTGTAACCCCTCTCTCTGTGGCTCAGTGAGCAGTCAACTTCCGGGAGTGCCTGAGGGTGCCTGCCAGTCACTAATGCTTTGTGCTTACGTCCCTGTCCCCATTTCATGTGATTCTGAGGAATGGGCTTGCTGAGCGAGAGCTTGACCAAGGTTAGGAGCCCCTGCCGGCGGGGCCACGGTGCCTTCCTGCTGGTCTGTCTCAGCATGCCCTCTGGTGGCCAAACTCTAAAATACAATTTGCTTGTCTTCCCATCAAAACCATGTTCATAGTAGACAACTAAGAGAATGAAATCGCAAGACAAAATATAAACTACCCATGCCTTGCCACCAGTCCAAGTTCACATCCTAATTTTTTTTGAAGGGTGCCTTATATATACATTGTTTGAAACCTGTTTCGATTGAAAAACTTGGATTTTTTTTTTTTTTTTTTTGGTCTTTTTAATTTGAGACACAGAGGGACGGAGACAGAAGCCCTGTGGGCTGGCTCACTCCCCCAGAGCCCGTGACAGCCGGAGCTGCTCTGGGACTGAAGCTGGGGCCCTAGAATTCAATCCAGGTCTCCCACGTGGGAGGCGAGAACCCAGTGACTTGGGCCGTCGCACTGCCTTGCCCGGGTGCACGCTGGTAGGGAGCTGGAGTGGGCAGCCGGAGCTGGGACTCACACCGGGCTCTCTGATGGGCTGTGGGCTCCTCCCTCCACGCAGTGTTTGGTAACAGCTTTCTTAGCTCATTTTCAGGTTTTCTTTTGCTCCTGCATTTTGGGCTTTGGCGCTGTGGCTGCGTGGTTTTAGGACCCGCCTGTGCCAGACACACCGGTGTAGCTTCGGCACTGACCACATCCGTGTTTCGCTGATGCCCTCTGGGCTGGCAGCGTGAGGTGCGTGGTCAGGTGTCTGCCTGCACGCTCACCGTGCCCGTGTGTGTGTCTCACTTGCAGCCGAGCCTGCGGCCCCCCCGCCTTCTCAAAACAACGGCACTACGAGCCCCGACCCCTTCGAGTCTCAGCCCCTGCCCGGCACCTCCAGTAAGCCCAGCAGTGCCCGGAAAACGCCCGAGTCCTTCCTGGGCCCTAATGCAGCCCTGGTGAACCTGGACTCCCTGGTGACCAGGCCCACACCGCCAGCCCAGTCCCTCAACCCTTTCCTGGCGCCAGGTAGGCTCTGTCCCCGGCCCCTGAGTGGGTGTGGCAGGCCGGGGTAGGGGGTGACTGGCCCTGGGACCTCTGGGAAAAGCCCACCACCCTCCCTGGACCGTGCCTGGGTAGACGTGGAAGCTGCTCCTTGGCAGGGTGGGGGGGAGGGGGCAGGACAGGAGCACCTGGGGGAGAGGCCGTCCCAGCAGCTCGGCCCTGCCCGCTGCTCTCTCTCCAGGTGCGGCCGCCACCTCGGCCCCTGTCAACCCGTTCCAGGTGAACCAGCCCCAGCCGCTGACACTGAACCAGCTGCGCGGGAGCCCCGTCCTCGGGAGCAGCGCGGCCTTCGGGCCTGGCCCCGGGCCGGAGCCCCTGCCTGTGGCCCCCGTGACCTCCACAGCCCCACACCCCGCTCTGGGGGCCGGGGGCCCCTCCCTGACACCGCTGGGCCCTGCAGCCATGAACACGATGGGCAGCGTGGGCCTCCCCTCGTCGACAGCCCAGGCCTCCGGCACCACCAACCCTTTCCTTCTCTAGCACCTGGCCTGGGACTGGCCAGAGGGTGCTGAGCTGGGTTGCTGTTCTGTGGGACGATGTCTGAGGGGTGGGGGTGGGGCAGGGTGGGTCTGGCTTCCCTGCAGCCCCCACCCTCACTGTCCAAGGCATGTGGGCCCCCCCGCCCCCTGTCCTCAGCCTGACCGGCTCTCACCACTCCCTCCCGAATGCTCAGGTCCTGGCTGGGCTCTGAGGCCCAGGACAAGGAGGCGGGCACGGGGGTGCGGCCCTCGCCCCAGCCTGAGCCAGTGGGCCTGCCTGGCAACTCGGGACAGCCACCTCGTCCTCCACCCCCGGCCCCAGGGGCAGCCCAGGCAGTCCCAGCGTGGACGGATGATGCGCTGGCCCCATAGACACCCTGCTGGGGAAGGGGTGGCGCCTGGGTCGTTTTCCTTTGACTCTGTGTGAGTTCAAAGCAAGCAGCAGCACCGTGGACAACTCTCGACGTAAACCCACTAGCGCGAGCTTTCACACTAACCTGAGCATAACCCTGCCACGTCGGTTCTCTGCTTGTATCTGTTTGCACATAATCTGTTTAGTACAGTTTCATATTTGAGTTTGCAGAATTATCTAATAGTCTTTTTTTGGCTAATATTTTTATAACGTGGTTCTTATTTAACTGTCTAGTTTTGATAGAACTGACCAAGTCTGGCTGAATTAAGATGTTGGCACGTGTCGTTTAGTGGTTTAAATCCTCTTATTTATGGTTTTAACTCTGTGTGAGAAGTTGAGAAGGAAGAGCTCTTCGGATGACAAAAATGCCTTATGGAGAAACTACAGCAAAACTGTTGATAGGAAAAAATAGGGGAATTTGATTACACATGAAAGATGTTTATTTAAAAGAAAAATTCCAACAACAAAAATCCTAGCCTCCGGCTGCCTTTTCCTTTCAACTCCCCCTTTTTGGTGAATTGCTGAACCCACCGACTCCCAGAGAGGCTATTTTTACTGATAAACCAACATCCTCAAAGTTAAAAGGAAAACGCTAATGTATGAATGTGACTCACCAGTTTTTATCGACTAATTCCTTTTTTTAAATTAAGTAGGCCTGCAGGGATTAAGAAGGACTTGTGTTTACAGTGGAATTGGAAGTGGAAGAGCGTCCTCCGCCCGGCCCCCACGCAGGTGCAGGGGGTGGTCCCACGTGGGGGTGTGCGCTATGCATGCAGTCCCAGGGGGCCCAGTCCCCAGGTGGAGGCGGGGCCGAGGGACCAGGGCTGGCCCGGGCCACCTGCCTGCTAACCCCAGACGCGTGCGCAGGCTGCGTCGTCTCTGTTTGGAGATGAAATTAAAAAAAAAAAAAAACACAAGATCCGCACGTGGGACAGTGGGGTAGCAGTGGGGTAGATTTTGAACAGACGTGCACTAAGACTGCCACCCTCTCCTGAGGTCCTACTGTCCCCCCCCCCCCACACGGGTAATAAAGTATTAAGTGCAAGTGAAAGGCCAGGAAGGACTTGCTCCTCCCCAAGGAAGGGCCAGCCCGCCTCCGTGTTGGGGGGCCGGGTGGCCGGCCTGGCAGGTGCTCCTGGCTCTCTTCTAACCTGCTCTGAGGACAGCTGAACGCTGGCCAGCACTTCTCTGGATCCAGAAGGAGAGGCGCCATTAGCACCGGCTCCCAGAGGTTTGTGGTGGTCCCTGGGCTGCCCGCTCAGGCCCTCTCCCCGTGTCCTGTTTGAAGAGCCCAGCCCCCTACCCCTGCGTCCCTGGGGCTGGGGCTGCAGCAAGGCTGTCTGGGGCTGCCCGTCCAGAGCTGCTGCAGGACGCCTGCTGGGAAGGTGCTTCCCCTCACATGGTGCGCGGCCCGGGCCAGCCTTACGCCTCTGACTCCGCTGCTGGGGGTCGGGGATCCTTTGGTCCCAGATGAGCCCTTCCTGATGTGAGATAGCCACGAGTCACCAGGGCTCAGGAAGACGGTCCCAGCCCCACCTGGCAGGCGTCCCAAGCACCCAGTGTCCCATTGCCCACTGCACTGATCATGAAGCCGCCAGCCACTGCCACGCATGTTGCTCACGTGCCGTGCCCCCTCCCTCCCGACGGGCACCCCAGTGCGAGACGTCACCCAGCTGTGTCTCAGTCCCAGGGGCCGGTGGCTGGTTTGGAATTTGTGTTGACTGTTGATATTTACTGTATAAATATAATTTATCATTTGTATCATGATGCGGTTTCCGTCTGTGTCTTTCCCAGGCCACGGGAGGGGGCCAGTCGGCCTAGGGAGACACCCCTGCCCACCGTCAGCGTGTAAGCACTCGGGCCGTCTTCTACTGCTTTCCCAGGCCATAGCAGAGAGCACTGCAGGTTGTTGGTTTTTTTTTTTTTTGTTTGTTTGTTTGTTTTTGACAGGCAAAGTGGACAGTGGGAGAGACAGAGAGAAAGGTCTTCCTTTGCCGTTGGTTCACCCTCCAATGGCCGGCGCACCGCGCTGACCCGAAGGCAGGAGCCAGGTGCTTCTCCTGGTCTCCCATGGGGTGCAGGGCCCAAGCACCTGGGCCATCCTCCACTGCACTCCCAGGCCACCGCAGAGAGCTGGCCTGGAAGAGGGGCAACCGGGACAGAATCCGGCACCCCAACCAGGACTAGAACCTGGTGTGCCGGTGCCACAGGAGGAGGATTAACCTAGTGAGCCGCGGCGCCGGCCAGCAATGCAGTTTTTTAAAAAGGTTTGTTTATTTGAAAGCTAAGAGTTACAGAGAGGGGGAAGAGACAGAGATCTTCCACCCTGTGGTTCACTCCCCAAGTTGGCTGCAACAGCCAGGGCTGGGCCAGGCTGAAGCCAGCAGTCAGGATCTCCATCCGGGTCTCCCACATGGGTGCAGGGATTCAGTCACTTGGGCCTTTATCTTCTGCTTTCCCAGGTGCGTCAGCAGGGAGCTGGCTCAGAAGCGGAGCAGCAGCACTGGAACTGGTGGCCACATGGGATGGGGGGGGGATAGCTTCCGGGGCCGCTAACAGCCAGCTTGTGGGGTTGAATCCACAAGTGGAGAACCTGTGGACCCAGGAGCCCAGGCGGTGGGCGTGGGGGCTCCCTGTCACGTTCAGCTTTGCTGTGTAACCACCTGGCCACGTCAGAACCCAGACCACTAAACCTGAGGCGAGGGTGGCCCACGTCTCGGCTGAGGAGCACTCACAGGAAGGAGGTTTTGGGTGGGGACAGATGTCTCTCCCAGGGGTCCCTGCAGGGGCAGGATCCTACAGGAGGCAGGCAGCAGGAGCCCCCCGTGGGTCTGACAGCCGGGAGAAGCGGAGCACATGGGCCCACCGGCCCTGGGGTGCAGAAGGTGATGGTGGGAATAGAAGGCGAGAAAGCTTTTCCCAGACCAGGGCTGCAAGGTGGTCACGGAGCACGGGGCTTCTTCCTGGCACCCCATGCTTCAGAGGGAGACAGTGGGCGTGCCAGCGGAACCAGCGCTGGCGGCAGCTCAGCCTGCAGGCCTGGGTCCCCACCCTGCGCTGGGGAGGAGGGCTGAGGGGACAAGGTGGCGCCAGCACTCCCGCAAAGTGACTTTATTTTACAAAACAGTTCTGCCCCCAACACCAGGGCCCTCAGTGGGGCAGGCCCTGCGCGGGGCTGGTTCCCCAGGTGGCCTGGGTGTCCGTGGGCCCCGTGTCGTAGCCCAGCTTCCTCATGTCCTTGGTCACCACATTAAAGACGACGGTGACAAAGCCCTGGGAGCGGACGCGGGTCACTGGGGACAGAAGGACAGCGTCAGTGGGGCTCAGCCTCCGTGGTCCCTTCTGGAGGATGGGGCAATGCCTGGCCCTCCCCTCCCATGGGCTTTACCTTCCCGGCCTTCTCCCTGCGCCACCACCTTGGGGTCCGTGTACTCGGGCCGCCGTCCCATGAACCAGCTGGGAACACGGGGGGAGGGGGGGAGCCGGGTGAGCAGAACCCACAACCACCTCCACCTCCTGCCCCGCCCACTCTGCCAGGTCGCAGCCAGGGCAGACCTGTAGGGCTTCCCTCCCCACCCCACACTGTCCTCTCCCGCCGCACTCACTGAGGATGCAAGGGGGCACGATGAGGGGGTGGCCAGGGGGGCGGCAAGGGGGCCAAGGTGACCCCACCTCCTCCCACTGGCTGAAAGGTCACTCTGTCAACGGAACGGGAAGCAGGGCACCGCCCACGAGCCTACAGCTTGGGACCAGGCCTGTCCAGCTTATTGACAGGCCATACCCAGCAGTTTCCAACAGGGAGAGGGGGCGTGGCCTGCACCCTCCCTCATCCTCGGGGACAGTGGATGTGCCCATACTTGGGGCAAGGGTCTCACAGGTGGGGTGGGAGGTGCTGAGGTGTAGATTGTTCTAGGTTGTTCTGGATCTAGTTGAGACCCAAGTGTCCTCGTTAGAGGGAGCTCCGAGGCCCACAGAGGGAGGCCGTGTGACCAGGAGGCCGTATGGGGGCGACTCAGCCACAAGTGGAGGAGGCTGGAAGCCCCCAGGAGCTGGAGGTGCCCCCGAGCCTGCCCACGGGCCATTCCCGACTCCGGGCTTTCAGCGCGGGGGGGAGGTACATGGCTGCTTTAAGCCATCAAGGTTGTGGAAGTTACCCTGGTGGCTGCAAGACACTACGGGGACGATGGTTATGTGCGGGCCCATGGACGGGGAGGCGGTGGGGGGCAGGGATGGAGGGAGCGGGACGGCCCGTCTGCTCGGGCAGGCCTCTCTGGACACCCCCACTAGTGACCCAAGTACACATCACCTTGGCCGTGAAGAGCCGGAGCGAGGGGCTGGAGACGGCCCCCTGCGCTGGGCTACTCCCACCAGCACAGGAAACCTGTGGTTTTTCCAGCCGTCCGGCCTCATGCTCTGGGCTCGCACCTGCTCCCACACTCCCGCCACAGCCAAGCCTGCTCATGTCACCCCCACTGCACCCTGGAAAGCCCAGGGGGTGGGAGGTGCCACCTCTAGGTGACCCTGGCACAGGACATCTGGCTAGGGAGCCCCTTCCCACCTGGTGGCCTCCTAGAAGGGCTCCTGCGGTGGTGGGCACCCCAGTCCTAGGACAGAGGCCAGTGGACCCGCGGTCACTCCCACCACAGGCCTCACTCGGTGAGGCACCGCGGCTCTGAGGTTTGATGCTGTCCCTGCACCCACAGGGCATGGCCCCAACAGCCTGAGCCGGCTGGTGGGCAGCTGGCTGCCCACTGCGCCACAGAGCCCAGGCCATCCGTCCTCTAGGATGTCTGTGCCCTGGGCCTTCCCCTGACGCATCCCCTCCTCCGCCCTGGCTCACTGCTTCCCAGCCACGTTGACCTGCAAGGGCTCAGCTGTTCACTGTGCCTGGATTTTTTTTTCCCAAGACTGATTTATTTGAAAAGCAGAGTTACAGAGATAGGCAGAGATGTCCCATCCACTGGTTCACTCCCAATATGGCCACAATGGCTAAGGCTAAACCAGGCTGAAGCCAGGAGCCAGGAGCTTCTTCCGGGTCTCCCATGCAGGTGCAGGGGCCCAAGCACTTGGGCCATCTTCTGCTGCTTTCCCAGGTGCATCAGCAAGGAGCCGGATCGAAAGTGACACAGCCAGGACTGGAACCGGTGCCCATAGGGGATGCCGGCACTCCTGGCAGCTCACCCCACTGCACCACAACGCCAGCTCCAGTGCCTGGATGTTCTTCCACATTTTTCCCTGGTGGCCACTTACCTCTGCTCTTGTTTCTGCTTAAGTGTCACCTCCTCCCGGAGGTGCCCATGGGTAAAGACGTCTGGTGACCAGTGGATCAAAGGTCCCCATTGCGGGCAAGTCCCAGCTGCTCCACTTCCCATCCACTCCCTGCTGATGGGCCTGACAGCGGACGATGGCCCAGGCGCTTGAGCCCCTCCACCCGTACGGAAGACCTGGATGAAGCTCCTGGCTTAGGCCTGGCCCAGCCCCAGCTGTGGTGGCCATCTGGGAAGCGAACCAGCATTTTGCGGTGGCTCCGTGCCCGTCCGCGTTTCTCCCCTGCTCCATCCCAGACAGACTTGGAGCGGCTCCACGGGACCCGTTTAGGTGAGGCCCAGGTGCATCCCAAGCGTGGCGTGTGACGCCGTCTGCCACCAGAGCGGGAGGGGCGACTCGGGGGCACACGGGCAGGACACTCACCTGGTGAACTTCTGCAGTTTGGATGTGGACTCTGGGACGAACATGGGGATGGTCTTTCTGTACCTGGAACACACGCGTGCACACGGATGGCGCTGAACTGCCACAGGATGGCCCCGTGGGAGCCTGCAGCGAGCACACGGCCCAGGCCCAGCCTCCCCGAGTCCTTCCGGGCCTGCCCCCTGCCCAGCTTCAGTGCGAGCCTCGGCACCCACACGCGTGGGCCCCCCACCCACAGTAAGGGCTGCACCCCTCGCCCTCTGTGATGAGCTCTGCCCAGGCCCCTGGGAGCCCCAGAGACTTCCCAGCCGGAGGCCCAAACAGAACTGGAGGCGACATCTGCCCAGCAGCCAGGGGCAGTGCAGGGACCTACCGGCCAGGGGAGAAGGGGACATGCACGGCCCCGTAGCCCCGGACCACGTCGTTCCCGAACACATCCGGACCGTACACGCTGAGCACCATCTGTGGCCCTGGGGGAGGACAAGGCGGGGGGCAGCAGAGGGGCGGGGCGTCCAGCTGAGCTGCAGGCTGGGGATGGCGGGCTGGCGGGCGGGCGAGCGAGCAGGAGTGCACGTGGGAACTGACTGCACCCTGGTATTCCTGGGCCCGCCGTGGCACCCAGCCAGCCCCTCTGCATCGCCCCGCCCCCGCCACAGCTGTCCTCTGTCCCTGGGAGACAGGGGCAGAGGTTCAGTCCTGGCTCACTGGGCGCTTGCTTTCTGATGGAGGCGGTCACAGCTCAGGGGACTGGGGCGCCCACGCTGCACTCGGGAGAGGTGTCAGAGCAAAGCACTTCCAGGCACCTTCCTTTAAAACGGGCTAGTCAAGGCCGGCGCTGTGGTGCAGCAGGTTAAAGTCCTGGCCTGCAGCGCCGGCATTCCGCATGGTGCCAGTTCGAATCCTGACTGCTCCACTTCCGATCCAGCTCCCCGCTTGGCTCAGCTCTGGTTGTTGCAGCCATTTGGGGAGTGAACCAGCAGATGGAAGACCTCTCTCTCTCTCACTCTTGCAAATAAAACAAAACAGGGCTGGGGGAACCTTTCTCACCCAAGGGCCGTTTTCATAGTTTATAACCTCAC